AAAAGCCGGACCTATTACCAAATACAGTGAAGAATTCAGACGAATTTTGCAAGAGAATCAAAGGCACAGTTTGGAAGAAAACGAAATATTGGTGAGCTTTGAAATACAGTTAATTTACAACCTCATCTAAAGAGAAAAAAAATAATGTCGCCACTGGAGATTTTGGAAAGAGAAGATAACATCCTGGAGGCGGAGTAAGTCCGAAAGGAGTCTGACCTGATTAATCAACCCAGCAATAAGAACCACCAATTTCACGTTCAAAAACCGTATCTATAAGCAAATATTTGGTCAATCTGAGGGCTGTTATGCTTATTTCTCTTTCAAGTGAAAGTGTTTGGTGAAGAGATTCGAAGGTGGATTCCACCGGAAGATGACGATAGATTCCTCTTGACCAGCTGTCGATTGGCTTTACTAGAACATGCATACTGACACTGTTTCCTAGGTAATCTCCTTCGATTCAGGTAAAAAAATGACAAGCTTTTGTCCGCCATATGACGAACATTATGTGACCAAGGTATCATCGTCACAACCAAGTTCAAGCTGACGAGTCAAGAAAACTCACTGAAAAATTCCTAAAAAGGGGTGTATATACTCTATATCTAGCCTCCTTGATCAGGTATAAAGTGATTTGGTTAGTTACGGTGATAAGTCTACCTCGAAGCCTGTGAGTGTATATGTATATGTGTGCGTATGTGCCTATGTGTGTTCGCTTATGCACGAAACCTGCAGTGATGGCTCAAAGTAATTAGGAAAGCAAAATTAATGTCCGTTCTCGGCCATCAAAGTATGATGACAACTATCTCCCCCTTTCTACATAAATTCTATAACCATCACCCCGAGTGCGCAAGGTCGGACACACGTCTGGTTTTGTTGATGAGCCTATTTTTTGTTTTTGGTCTTAATTCAAGAGAGAAAGAGTGAGTTCATCACGCTCCAGTTTACTATTAGTGGAAATAGGTTAATCTGGACGTCTACTAAGAATACAACATCTAGGAACTGCATTATGTGAAATATACATTAAAAAATCTAATAGTACTGATTTTCTGGGATATTGATTTCTTGGTATCTTATTATGTCGGGATGTATGGATCTTATCCATCCTATTTACCAGACCGTCCGCCACTTTCCGCAATTTGGGAAAGTCTTCTTGAGAAAATAGCAGATTTGAATTATTATCAACTTTCTCCTGGATATATAAGAACCAAGAAATCTATATCCCGGCAAGTCAATACTATCACATTTTTAAAAATGTGCATTTCACATAATGCAGTTCCTATATGTTGTATTCTTGGTAGACGTCCAGATTTACCTATTTCCACTAGTAGGAAACTGGAGCATGTATTAGGTAGTTTGGTTAAGACTAGACTAAAAGAAAGTATAGACAAATTATATGACCTGATTGTAACCAAAACAAGGTGTAGACAATCCCTTTCTCTGCAGTTTTCTGAAGAAGACTTTCTCAAATTGCAGAAAATGGCGGACTGTCTGGCGGACAGGATGGATAAGATCAATAGATC